GACAGCGAAGGGTGGGGGTAAAAGAGAGAGAGAAAGAGAGACAGAGAGACAAGAAGGTGCTGCATGAAGCTTATAATAAATTAAGAGAAAAAGAAAACGAGAAAATATATTTTATTATATCGCTGAAGGAAGGGTAAACAAATGCACACTCTCCCCTTTAGCATAGCAGCGGTAGTCCTGCCAGCGCTTCATCTTGTCTGAAACTGCAGACACAAAGGAGACAGCAGCAATAGGAGACTGCAGCAAAAGGAGACAGCAGCAAAAGAAGAGAGCAGCAAAAGGAGACAGCAGCAAGAGGAGACAGAGACAGGCGAGAAAGACCAAAGGAGACAGACAGTGCGAAGAAACAACTAAAAACATAACAACAGACAAAAACGCAAAGAGAGAGACAGAGCCCCAGCCTAAGAGACAAAATAAAAGAAATAATATATTATTAATTGCATGCGGAAAGAGACAGATAGAAAGGGAGACAGCCAGAAGAAGAAAATGCAAATTTGTTTCAAATAAAAGCAAAGTATGAAGAGAGAGAGAGAAAGATAAGGAGACGGAGACAGCAGAAAAGAGATAAAAGAGAGGAACCGAAGGAGACAGATAAAGAAGAGACGCAGGTAGAGACAAAAAGAGACAGACAAAAACAGAGTAATAGAAGTATAAGAGATGAAAAGGAGACAGACAAACAGCAGCAGCAAACCACACGAGGCCCAAAGGAAGCTCTGTACACCCCAAGGAGGCAAATAATTATAGTAGAGACAGACAAATGCCGCACCTGCTGCAAGGAGACGATCTGTAACGGAGACAAATAATTATAGTAGAGACAGACAAATGCCGCACCTGCTGCAAGGAGACGATCTGTAACAAAGGCAATGCCTTCAATGTTGCAGTAAACCACTTCGCAGTTCTCGCCCCGAGGAAAGTGCAGCACAGTCCCCCCTGCATGCATTCATACGCAAGCACCTGCATGCATGCATGCATGCATGCATGCAGCCATATATTCATGCATGCATGCAGCCATACATCCATGCATGCATGAATGCATGCATGCATCCATTCATATATTCATGCATCCATACACACACGCTGAACGTTCGTTCATGCATGCATGCATGCACGAACGTGCATGCGTGTGTACAAAGATGCATCTTTGCATGCATCCTTGCATGCATGCAAAGGTTGAAGGATGCATGCATGCACACGCGCTCAAGTTGTTTGCACAACAACATGCATGCATGCATGTTATGGATTGCGACTTCTGCATGAGGGTTTAGGGTTTAGGGTTTAGGGTACTTTGAGGGTTCTCCAAATGCAGCTCGTTCCCTTTGTCTCCTTCTTCATTAAAACCATTCTGCCGTTTCCTACGCCATCAAACAAATGCAAAAAAGATTTGCATGAGGTGTACAGACACCCCGCGCTGCAGGGAGGTAGCTGAAGCAAAAGAGGCATGGGGTGTACGTACACCTGGAGACCCTAAACCCTAAACCCTAAACCCTAAACCTACCCCTCTGGCGGCCCTTTTCTCCTCCCTTGCAGAAATTACCCTCACAGAGCCCTAAAACAACAACGCAAATAAATAAGAGACAGCACAGCGACCAATCAGCAAGACAAAGACAGCAAAAATAAACAACAAGATGTATGTACACCTAAAAACAAACCAACAAACAAATAAAGAGGGAGCAACAAACACGCCCTAACAACAAGGACATGCAAGCAAACAAACAGAAAGAGCAAATAAATAAAAATACAAATAAATGAGAATAAATAAATAAAAAGAAAAGGTCAATGAGAACCCTAAACCCTAAACAAAAAGAAAAAGATGCACCAAGTAGTACGCTAAACCCTAAACCCTAAACCCTAAACCACCAATACCCCTGAACAAACCCTAGACACCCACCTAGGAGATACACCTCGCCGTTGTCATCGCGCAAACCTACAAGCCCCTGCAGAGCCCAAACCCTAAACCCTAAACCCTAAACCCTAAACCCTAAACTCTTAACCCTAAACCCTCTATTCGCGACTGCAAGCAGCAGCAGCAGCAGCAGCAGCAGCGGCGTTAGCAGCAGCAGCAGCAGCAGCAGCAACGGGGGCAGCAGCAGCAGCAGCAGCAGCACTAAGCCCTAAATCCTTATAGCCCCTTCGCTGACCTCGAACCCTTTATTTCCAGCAGAGAACGAAAATTCTGCAGACAGCAACAAGAGGAGCTGGCGTTTACAGTTAAGGGTTTAGGGTTTAGGGTTTGATGCTGCTGCTTCTACTGCCCCCAAACCCCTAGGGTTTAGGGTTTAGGTCTGGAGCCCTGCGGGGTTGATTTAGGGTTCAGTTAGGGTTAAGGGTTTAGGGTCTGATGCTGCTGCTTCTTCTGCCTCCAGGCCCTTAGGGTTTAGGGTTTAGGGTTTAGGGTTTACCTGTCTTGCACGTGTTTTGTAGGGTGTACGAGCCCCCATTGACAGTAACCTCTTCTACATGCGCATGAAAAGGCTTTGTGCTGCTTCTCTCTTGCTGCTGCTGCTGCTGCTGCTGCTCCAGCAGCTGCTGCTGCTCCTCCTCTGTCTCTGGGGGCGCCTCTGCTTCCTCTTGTTCAGGATTGTGCGTCACCGCCTCCCGCACGATATAAAAAACCCCTGACTGAGATACACAAACCCTAAACCCTAAACCCCAAACCCTAAACCCTAAACCCTAAACCCCAGGAGATTCGAAGCAGCTGTGTCTCTTTTCCCTTCCCATAGATAGTTTCTTTTTCAGATATCTACATGTACACGTGCTCAAGGGTTTAGGGTTTAGGGTTTAGGGTTTATGTTGAAGGGGCCTACTTCCTCATCCAGCCAGAGGGCCTCCCAGTCAGATTCGCTGCTTCCGTTTCTCTCCTGCAGCAGCAGCGACAGCAGCAACAGCAGCAGCAGCAGCAGCAGCAGCAGCAGCAGCACAAGTGGAAAGGAGACATACTGACGCATGCGAGAGACTCAGGAGAGAGAGCGGAGACAAACAAATGCACAAAAAGAAGAAATAGAGCAGTACGAAAAGAGAGAACAGACAAAGGGCGAAAAAAAGAAAGAGACAAAAGAACTCCAAAGGAGACACTATAAAAAAGACAAAGACAAAAAAAAGAAATAGAGACAACAGAGAGACAACCTAAGCAGAGTAAGAGATAAACAAAAGGAGACAGACACAAAAAGAGATTTAAAAGGAGACAGATAAAAAGAGATAAAAAGAAAGACAAACAAAAGGAGACAAACAAAAGGAGACAGACAAAAGGAGACAAACAAGAGGAGACAAACAAAAGGAGAGAGACCAAAGGAGACAGACAAAAGGAGACAGACAAAAGGAGACAAACAAAAGGAGACAGACAAAAGGAGACAGACAAAAGGAGACAGACAACAATAACGTACAGATGGGCCTATTAGCTGATTTTCTGGGGAGAGAGGAGTTAGGCTGTAGGTCGCCTTCATTAAAGAGAAGGATGAGTCAGATACCTGCAGAGACATGCACATCAATGCTGTCTCCGCCTGTCTCTCTTTGTCTCCTCTCTCTCTGTCTCTCTCTATCTCATTCTCTCTCTCTCTCTTTGTTTCTGTCTGTCTCCTTTCTTATATATTTTGTCTCCTTACAAAGTAGAGACATTTGTTGCTGCTAACCACGTCGCTAGCCTCAAACTTCTTCAGTGCCCCCTCAGCAAAGAGAGAAGACGCAGGAGCTTCAAAAGAAAGTTTTAGCGTTTTGTCTCGGTAGTCTGCATGCACAAACACACAAAGCCCCAACCAGCAGCAGCAGCAGCGCGGGTATATATATTATATATATTCTTAGCTATAGGCATTATATATTCTATGCGCATGGATATATGTATATATATATATATATATATATATATATATGCATGCATATATATATAGCACATATACACATGCATGCATTGATATATGCATATATACTGTATAAATATATATTCATCTATGTATCTACGAGTATATATATATATACATCTATATATATATACATCTATATATATATATATATATATATGCATGCATGTGTATGTGTGTGTGTGTGTGTTTGTGCGTGGACGCGCGTGTGAACATAGATGCCCTGGAGTTTAAACCCTAAACCCTAAACCCTAAACCCTCACCTTTTCGGCAGATGTTATCATCGGCTTCTGCGCCACTGAGGCTGGCTGCAATGGTTTGGGGCTTCTGGATTGCATGCAGCAGCAAAAAGCAAACAAAGAGCAGCAGCAAGCCACAGAGCAGCAAACGCCTCAGCGAACTCTGCTTCAGCTGATGCTGTGCTGCTGCTGCAGCGGCTGCTGCTGCTGTTGCTGCTGTTGTTGCTGCTGCTGCTGCACCACGAGGCCCCGTGCAGAAGCGCCTACAAAGGGATGAAATAGCCGCATTGAAGGCTGAAGCATCCCCCTGCTGCTGCTGCTGCTGTTGCTCGAAAGCAATAGGTGGAGGGTGCACAAAGTAATCGCGAGCGCTTGGGTGCCCCAGCAAGGGAGCCTGTGCTGTGGATGATGGCTGCTGCTGCAGCAGCTGCTGCTGCTGCTGCTCCTGCTGCTGCTGGACCTGCAGCTGCACCATCTGCACAACTGCAGGGCACGGCTGGTGCCCTGCGTCATGTATATGGTAGGAAGAATCCATTCTGAGCCTTGTGTGTGCGCAATTGTGCGGTGTGTTAGGGTTTAGGGTTTAGGGTTTAGGGTCTAGGGGCTGGAGTTGTAGCTCTCAAGGAGCGGGGATACCAGGCAGCCAAGGTCATGAAACAACTCAACACGTTGCTGCAGTTGTTGAGAAAAACAGGTGCAGCAGCAGCAGCAGTAGCAGCAGCAGCAGGTGGTGACGATGTGGGGCCCCAGCGTTGTAGTTGCAAGCGGAGGAGGAAGAGCAGCAGCAATGACGCTGCAGGGTTAATAAGCCAGTTCTTGAATATAAAAAGTAATTTAATTTGAATATTTAATGCTCATTATGCAGGGAAGAAGGAAAAAAATACTTCGAATATATAAAAGCATAGCTCTGCTTTTAGAACCCCGGTCTTCTCCAGCAAACAGCTTGGGGTGTATGGGGGTTGAGGAGAGGCAGCATAGAGGTATGTGTGTATTAATTGCTGTATATTATTAATATTTTGCATTAATTTTTACTTTTTAATACCGTTTTACTTGCATTTTACTCGTTTTTACTCTGTTTCCCCTTTATACCTGCCGCCGCCTTACCCTGGGGTCTGAGCGCAGTCGCAAACCGGTGGTTTGAGGTGTATAGGGAGCTGCGGTGTATGCATCTTTCATTCACTTGAATAGCCTCATTTGGCTGTTTATCTTTTGTACAGGGTCATTTCTTTTTGTTTTATTGCATTTAGCCTTCTTTAGCAGCAGTTTCCTCGGCATGTTGCACTGGCTATCTACAGGCGTTCCTGTAATTAAGAACTCTTCTCTATTTTTTTGGTAGCAGCTACAGGGCTGGCTTCAAGGCCCTATTGAGCTCCCCTCTGAGGCATTATTCGAGATGTGTATGTTGACTCTTCGCGCGAGGGCCTCAAGGGCCCCCAGAGGAACCCCCCAGATTACCCCTGTGGTCCCCCGGGGCCCCCCTACTCTCTTGCTGCGCAGCTTAAACAACCGCCGACTGACGTTCATAGTTTCATTAGAGCCAATTTTAAGGCTCCCAGGCTATCCGCCCCTCATGTCTCTCCTCGTCTCTTCTCCTAATTCCCTGCATCAAGTACACCTTCATATCTGGGGCATCATCCCTAGCGAGACAACCACCGTCTTAGCTCTCAGATTACCCCACCCGCCTAACACAATTAATGCAAACCCAAACAACACATTCACACGGCCAAGTAGGGGCGTCTTGGATGCTCTGGGGGCCCCAGGGGCCCCTAGAGAGGCAACCTCACAGGCTATAAGAAGTGCACTTGCACAAGCAAGGAGGAGGGGGCCCCCTAGACTCTCTAACGAAAGACCCTCAGAGGCACCAAGTGAGGGTGCTGTGGGGGCCCCCCTGACGAATGCTGCTCAAGCTGAAGCGATGAGAGCTCCAGCAGCAATGAATGAACGTCATGGTGGTTTGGTTATGAGAGAAAGGATTGAACAGTATATGCAAATAGATGCAGCAGCACTTTCTTTTTGTTTGCCCTATCTTTTCCGATAGACACTCAAGAGGGTCAGAGATATTCATTTAAGGGCCCTGAATTTTTTATAGGTTTCTTCTGATGCAGTAAATACCTTAAGAAGGTCTCACGCTGCACAGACAAAGCTGTAAAGGTGAATATTAATCGTATTAATAATGCTTCAAAAGCAGCAGGTGCCCCACATTAAATTAGTGCATTAAAATGAGAGACAGCTGCAAACTCAGCTGGCTTTTTATGCTGTCTCCACTCCTCATTAAAGGCAAAAGAGACAGAAAAAGAGAGACATCGGCCGTGCTGCTTTAGAGCCTTGCTCGCAGCTAACCAGGCTGCTGGACATAAGTAGCAGCAATCTTTCTTTGCTTTTTCTTTTAAACTTGTTTTTCTTTTAATGTTTAATTCGCATTTACTCATGCAATATACAGAGTCGATGATTGTGCTCTTCTTCTGCAGCTACAACTGTATAACAAATAAACCCTTTCCCTGTCCCTTCTAAACCCTCAGCTTAAACCCTTGCTCAAAACCCTAAACCCTCACACATACTCACTCTTGCAGCCTTTATGTAGTTTTTAAAGAAAAATAATATTTATTTAAACTGAAGATATTAACAACTGCTCGTGCATTGAGTAGGCTGCCCCCTCTACCCACACCCATACGGGCGCCGTGTGCTGCTTTTTTTCTTTATTTGAACAAACCCTAGCAGCAACAAACGCTCAAGCAGCAGCAGTAGCAACAGCAGCACCACCAGCAGCACCACCAGCAGCACCACCAGCAGCAGCAACAGCAACAACAGCAGTATAGTGCAGCAGGAGCTCGTGTCGCCCCCGTTTAAGAGTCTTTACGGGGAGGCATTTTATGAGGTTGAAGAGATGACAGTGCACAAAAGAAGCATATTTGTGTTATTAAAGAAGAAAGAAATAATAAAAAATCAAAAAGAAAAAACTTAGATGAAGACCCCTGCTGCTGTACAAGGATAGATAGGTCTCCTTTTGTGTGCAGATACAGCAGTCTCCTTTTGCTGTCTCTTCTTGCATGCAGCTGATTGCATGTTAAAGTTAATTTTAAAGGCAAACGAATCTTTAGAAATAATATTTTTGCTTTTCAAACGCCTTCATAAGAATGATAAGACAAAATCCTCTCAGCTCCGAGGAGGTGTCTATACACCTCAATGTGGGGTCAGAGGCCCTCTATAAGCTAGCCAATGCTTCTTATTTATGATTAATGCATTTCTTCTTTTAAGCACATCAACAAGCAAAGAAACACCCGCTTGCAGTAGAAAACGACTAACGGCCGCCCGCCGCCATGCGTGGGTTGCTGCTGCTGCAACTGCAGTAACTGCAGCAACTGCAGCAGCAACAGCACAGGAACAAACAGACAAACCATCAATAAACGAAAGGGAAGAACGATAGCAGCAGTAACAGGGGCAGCAGCAGCAGCAGAAGCCTATGCTTCCTCTCGGCATAACCCGCAATTGCAGCAGCAACAGATGAGTATGCAGAAGCAGTAGGCAACTGCTGTTACATCTACAGCAGCAACAGCAGCAGCAGATGCATGCAAGCACCAGCAACAGCTCTATTTATTAATATATGAGGCGGGTCTATTAATCTTTAAGTGCAGCGCGCTGTCCTTCCCTCGAGCAGCAGGATATCTCCAAGGACCTCACAAGGGGCCCTTCTACCTTCAATAAAGCATCATCATTATCAGCAGCAGCAGCAGCAGCAGCAGCAGCAACAGCAGCAGCAGCAGCAGCAGCAGCAGAGGCAGCCGACGCCACAGCTGGTCTCACGGTCGGACGAGACAGGGGAAGGAGAAGGGTTTGTCTAGAATTGGGGTGTATATGAGGTGTGTTGAGCTGAAAATGAGTTCCTTTTCTATATTAATACGAGTAGTTTGTGTACAGAGGGAGTAAGAAGCAAACAAACAAAGAAAAGAGAATTGATCTTTCAGTGTTCTTAGGCTTCTAGCAATGCAGATCCTGAAGCCTTTATCCAGAAACAAAAGGCGAAAATTGTTTAAATTAGGCTGTAGATACGTTTAATTAGATGAGTACTTCTTGATAAAATAAAAGATATTTCTTGTTTTTTCTTATTTTCATCCAACTGTGTCCCTGAAGTTTACCCCGAGAGGAAGCAAAACTTTCTTGCTCTGCTCGGGTGTATCGACAGGTGGCGCTGTTCAATTCGCAGCTCAAGTATGAGCGAAAACTCCTTTTAATCCTCGAGCAAAACATACGTGCGTTTCTTCTCTCTATATCTCTTCTTAAATAACAGCTTCACGAAGGAAAATATCGAGGGGAGTATGGCTAGCAGTTCTCATGTCGCTGGGGTGTATATGCAGCTCTGATAGATATTAACTGAGGCGGTGTTCATTGTACTCTTTTGCAGCATTCCCCTGATTTCTATCTGCGTGCATTTTAATAAAACTCTAATAGGTAGTGAGACGTACTTGGGGATCGATCCCTGAGGCCCCGACCACCAGCGCCGACTCTATAGTTATTAGTTTCAGCATTTCGTTCTAGAAAGCTCGGGGTAGACAGAGGTAAACCCTTGAAAATCTTTGTCTTTATGGGTCTGGGAGTAGGTGTATATCCCCATAAGAGGGCCTTGTAGTCTTTTTCCTTTGCAGACACCGAGGCTCTACAGCTGCAGAACGGATTACCCCTCCTTGACGGATGCTACAGCTTAAATGTGCGTCGACAAAGGGCTAAATAAAAGCAGAGTAATTGAAAGGGAACAGAGTTGAACAGCCTACCAATGCTGAATCTCTTGATGCTTCTCTTTCTCCTCACCAACTGAGTTGTACAGACACCGCAACATAACGTTCTACCCATAGCAGACTAATGCAAACAATCCTGCATACTCCACTTAAGGAAAGTTAGGAAAGAACTTAATCTGTTCACTGTTCGCCCTTCGAGATTAAGCCGAAGCCTCTATCTATGTTCTAGGGGCCCGTTCAGCAACATACTAGGGGTTGCTATGGGTTTACTTCGAGTTGCTAGGCTTTAATAGTGGTTGATTATGGATTGGAGATAGAAGAAGTTGCGTTCGTAGCCCATTTCTTATTCTACGACAAACAGAAAACGCTTCCGTATGTCTTGTTTCTTTTTGCTGAAGTTTTATTCGTTGGCCGATGGCTGGGGCTTCAGATATTACGTTTTAGGAGAAACAAACAGAGGTAAACAGAAGAGTTGGATTCCCCTTGCAGGAAGCGTCTCTATTTATCATAATACGTTGAATTGCCTTGTCTAGAAGTCCTAATGCTTACACATCGTAGTCTCTACTCTGTTCAGGGCTTACCCTGTATCAATGCAGATGCGCATGCATGGCTACTTGCA